GGGTAGATTCCAACTCACAGTGACCAGAGGCAGGTAGTCCCATCTTTTTCCTGCCGAGTCTCCATTAGTGGGTTTGAACTGCCAACCTTGTGATTAGCGGTCCGATGCTTACCTGACAGTACCACCCGAGGACTAAGGAGATGGGCAGCTACAATGCCACAGAGGATGTGGTACAGGGAGAAATGTAGTGCACAGGACAGTAAGCTGGCTTAGGCTAATCAAACTTGGGGTCTCCGGGATAGAAGCAGGAATTTGTCAGCTCACCGTACCCTTGTCAAAAGAGGCTCTTGGAGGGCTCTGCCTTCTTTCCTCTGATGTCCACACCCAAACTACCCATATTTAAACTCTTGTGCAGCACAGTGGAGACCTTCACTGGGAGTCCTGTCGGGCGGGGGTGGGAGGGGTCTGATCACCAGATTGTCCCAGCTTGAGCCAACCCAAGGCTCACCTTCCAAACATGGTCAGCCTGCCCACTGGCATGTCCTGTACTAGCTGCGATTGCTGGGGCTTCCCCTCGCGTTGTAACGGACTCTCTCTTCTTCCTCTTCAGGCCTGTTTCTATTACCATAGCTAGGACTTGGGTTCTCACCATTTCCCATTCTCAGGATCCTCATGCTCTTGTAGAATCGCCGGTTTGTGCTTTTAGATTTAAACAGAAGCCTGAATCTCTTCGTCCACCCGTTTTTCAAACTCACCATGAGAGAAGACATGGTGTGTCACACTTTGGGTACAACGGGTTCAGTCCTGGCTTGTCTATCAAGAGGATCGGGCAATCCAGTCCTGAAGGGAGGGTCTCTGCTGCTATGGGTGATCCAGTTAGTCATGCACAGGGAGAGGGGCTGATGCTCCTCTGCCCTGCTGCACTGGAGCCACAACATAGCCAGAGACATCATTGTTTGTATTAAATTTGGTTCTCTGAGAGAATTCATGTGCAAGTGAGTTATCAAGGAGCCCCCATGGTGCTGGAGGGGAATTGTTGGGCTGATAACTGTAAGGTAACTCACTGCCATTGAGTTGATCCCTCCTCATAGGGACCCTTTGGGACAGGGTAGAACTGCCCTTGTGGGTTTCTGAGGCTGTAACTCTTCACAGGGGCAGAAAGCTTCATCTTTCTCCTTCCGAGTGGCTGGTGCTTTCAAGCTGCCGGCCTTGCACTAAGTATGCAGCCCAACGTGTAACCACTACACCAACTGCAAGGTAGCTAGTTCAAACCCACCAGGCTTTCTGAGTCAGAATTCTCTCAGTGACTGTGGGTGGGTCCAAGAGTGATCAGCAAAAGAATGGAGACCCTGGAGAGACAAGAGGAGGGAGCCAAGGACACTTGGCTTGAATGTTCAAAAGCAGCATCTTTTGGAATATCTCCAAACTGCAATCACTCAAATGTCCAACAAGCGTAGAAGTGGTGAGAAACACGTGGTGACATTCATGCAATTGAGTCCTTGGGTGGTACAAACAGTGAAGCACTTGGCTACTAAAAAAGTTTGTGGTTCAAATTCACCCAGAGAGATCTCAAAACAAAGGTCTAGAAATCTCCTTCCAAAAGGCTATAGCCATGGAAGATCCTGTGGAATGCTGCTCTGTTCTGTAACACAGAGGCTCACATCAGTCAACATCGACTCCGTGGCAACCAATTTCAATTTTAATCATACATGAGCACTCTCCAGCAATGAAAGTGAATGAACTAAGGTCACAGCAACAAGCTAAATACATTTTACAAACTGGGAAAAATATTTGCAACTCATACTCCTGGATAGAAGTTTAATCTCCCTGATATGTAAAAAGTTTCTTAAAACTGTTAAGGAAAAGAACAACTCAATAGAAAAAAGGTGTGGGGGTGGCTGAGGGTGTAGTATAATCAGGCGACTCAAGGGAAAATAAATATGTATTAGTGGCTCTTAAATGTTTGAACAAATATTCTACCTCTCTCATAAGAGAAATGCATACTAAAACTGCCCTTTCATTTTCCAGTCTAGCAAATACCACAAAGTGATAGACATTATGTTGGCAAGTGTGATACTGCAGGTTTTGTGCCAACATGACTGGGGCGGGATTCTCAGTGGCTTGACTGTTAATACATAGTGATCTCACCATGATGACATCTCCTTGGGGGTGTGGCCTGCTTCCAATATAAGTGAATTCTACCCAGCAACGTGATCTGGACAGTGGTCTGACTTCAAGTTCTTTGGACTTGAACCAGCAGCTTGCTGTATTGCCAGCTGATCTTAGGATTCAGCTTACCCTCAGACCTTGCGTTCATTTGCCTCTGCAAGCAGGAGCCTGCCATCTGACCTGTAGATCTTAGGTTCTTCAGCCCTTGGAGCCACATGAGTCAGAAGAATCCTTCAGCATGACACGTGCCTCGCAGATTTGGAACTTGCCTATCCTTATTACTGCATCAGCCATTTCCTCGATAGAAACCTGTGTGTGTGTGCCTCCAATTTTTAGTATATGTGTTACCAAAGCAAGCACGTGTTTATACCTCAATAAGAAAAAAAAGTCCAATCAAAAAGTTGCTAACAAACATATAAAAATTGATCACGATCATCAGCCATCTGGAAGCTATGCATCAAAGCAATGATGAGATATCATCTTACACTGACTATGACAGGCCACTGAAAAATAAAAAACAAAACCCAGAAAACAACAAATGCTGGAGAAGCTGCAGAGAGAATGGCACTCTCATCCACTGCTAGCAGGGTCAGTAAATATGTCCAACTGTAGGAAGCAATATGGTATGACCTCCAGCCAGTGGGGATAGAAAACCCACACAACCCTGCCATTTCTGCTGGGTATCAGATGTTATTCTTTTTTTTTTTTTGAGTGATTCGCCCCTTTACTTTGTGTAAACACGACTTCCATGCAGGTGGCGGTGAGCGGGCACCAGGGCTCGACCCGCTTTGCACTGCAGGCTAGGGCATTTGCCCTGGGCCGTCTGAGAGGCGAGGCCCGCTTCAGGATCACAACAAACGGTTCTATTTGTGACTTCTAACCCTCCCACCACCTCCCCCCCAAAAAACTGTACATGAGTTTACAAACATCAGATGTTATTCTTTTTGACATCTGAGAACCATCTGATTTCTTTGCTATCCTTTGCTATAGCACCCATATCTTCATGAGGGTAAGAAGTACACACGTAAAGAATTTTCTTACGAGCTCAAAATTGATGACAGTAACTCTAAAGCACAGATGAGAAGTTTAAAGGGCAGTGAGCACAAGTCAACCATGATGAAACATTACAGGGGAATGGTAACGTAATTGTCACCAGAAATTAAAAAAAAATAATGAGAATGCTATGCACTGTTAGAATGCCTGAAATTAAAAAGACGGACAGTGCTAAAAGCTGGAGAATTCATAACTTTCATACATTGCTGGTGGGGTTGTAATACGGCACAGCCACTTCGGAAAATAGTTGGAAAGTTTCTTTTAAACATTAAATAGACCCTTACCGTGCTCGTTGCCAGAGAGCTGATTCTGGTTCGTGTCGGTGGCCCCATGTGTGTCAGACTAGAACTTGGATCCGTGGGGTTTCCCATAGCTGGTTTATGGGGGAGTAGATTGCTGGGCCTTTCTCCTGGTGAAGTGCCTCTGGGTGGACTCTAGCCCCCATGCCATTGGTTAGCAGCAAGCACATTCGCTGTTGGCACCATGACCATAAATCAAAACCACCCCCAATGCCATTGAACCAAGGACTCAAGGTGGCCCTATGGGACAGTGAAGAACTGCTCCCGAGGGTTTCCAAGACTCTTGGCAGCAGCAAACAGCCTCTTCTCTCTCCCTCTGGGTGGGTGGTGAGTTTGAGGCCCTGACCTTGCTGTTAGCAGTTCAACACTTACCTGGCAGCCCCATCTGGGCCCCCTTGGCAGGGCGATTCTACTTGTTTGCAGTTCGAGAACTGGTAAAAGTGGTCTGTAGGCAGAGTGGCAATCCTTTCAATAGTTTTCCTGGGGTTCTGAGTAAGAGAGATTGATTGAGAAGGGGCACAAAAGAACTTCCAGGGAATAACGGAAGTGTGTTTCATTTGGGATGTTGGCCTACAAGCGCACACGTGTATAAAATCGCATCTTAACGAGACACTTAAAGGTAGGTGTGTTCCAGCCTGTGTGATCACGAGGTGTCGATGGGATCAGGTATCAGGCATCAAAGACCCAGAACAAAAAATCATATCAATGTGAATGACAGGGAGTGCAGAGTGGAGACCCAAAATCCATTTGTAGAGAATTGGACATCCCCTTACAGAAGGGTCGCAAGGAAGAGACAGGATGCAGTACAGCACTGATGAAACATACAGCTTTCCTCTAGTGCTTTAACACTTCTTCCCCCCACTATCATGACCCCAAGGCTACCTTACAAATCGGGCTAGACCAGAGCATGTACACTGGTACAGATAAGAGCTCGAAACACAGGGAATCCAAGACAGATAACCCCCTCAGCAACAATAATGAGAGTAGAGACACCAGGGGGGGAAGGGAAAGGTGGGGAATCGATCATAATGATCTACATATAACCGCCCGAGCTGCTGCTCCCCGGCGCAGCGGCCCCGGGTGGGGCTCTCGGGGGCTTTCCCGTGCAGCCCCCGCAGCCCCCGCTCGCGGTGATCTTCAAAGGCGCGTCCCCGCGTTCTCGTTCCATCCCCACGTGAAGGGGTCCCTTGGAGACCAGAGGCCACAGGAACCCCGCCGCGTCCCGCCGGCCAGCCAAGCACCCCTCCCTCGACGAGGGAGCGCTCTGGCCCAGGGTTCGTCCCGGCTGCCCCCAAGCTCTCCAGGTCCCCG